AATAAATATGAAAAACAAGAAATAAAGTACTTACCCAATCTTCTTTTTTCTTGCCGTCATTTGTCAAGGACAGTTAGGTCTGATTTTTTATAGTAATGATAGTAATGCACTTAATAATTTTTATTTAATTAAATAATGCATCAAAGAATATAGACTAATAACATGCAAAAAAAGTAGACAAATTCCTCTAAGTCTCTGCCTTTTTAACTGTGTGACAAGAGCCTTTACAAATTCGTGTAAGCTAGTTTTTAACTTTCCCACGGGAATGAAATTTGTACTGTGAGTGAAAGTAACTAACACAATGTTATACAATATGTCATTTGATAGATGGAAACCAGGACTTTCTATTGATTATAGGTAATGTATAATGAAACGTAAAAGAGAACTATCAACCAATTCTGAAAGAGAGGATGTGACAGGTGGGTGTGGCAGGAGGGGTCTGATTTTGTACTTGATAGCTCTGTACCCAAACAAAATTTAAGGCTATAAAAATTATGGTTTGTTTGAGCAGTAATGATTTTATAGAGAATATTTTATGTTTAATTTCATACTTTTTCTAGAGGTGGTGGATAAAATAGGGATGATGACATGCTAAGAGTAAATGCGTCACGTGGGTCACACTAGTGGAAATTCAGGATTTTTTTAACTATTGCCTTGTAGAATTAAGAACTTAGAACTTTTACATTATTAAAATATGGATTATTAGCTAGGATTTTATGCTATTGTAATTGGTATAACTTAAACAAAAAGTAGTTTAATAAAATTTTGAATATAAGACACTAAATCCTTGTGTCATTCGCAGTAAAGGATACCCGGAATGATAGGGTTAAAAAGAGAAAGAAATCATTGGAAGCATAGCTTTTTTTTAAAATACTTTGTATCAGTAATTATAATAAAATTGTGAAGCTTAAAAAAATACAAATTATCTCTATCACTACAGATTTTCCTAAGGTCAGAGGTCAAAAGGCATGTCATCACGTTTGTAGACTTGCATTAAAAAGTTATTGAACTACTATTTTTGAATATATGCCAATAAGTTTGATATCAAATTGTAGACTATAATTCAAATTTTAGTATTATAGATTAGTCAATTTTTTAATTTAAAAGTAAATATTAAAAAAAATCATAAATATCGATTTTTGTGTCACGTAGTGTGTTGAATGTAGCTTTGTTTCAAATTAGTTGTTTGTGATGTCCAAATACAAAGTCTATAGTTTCTTACAAATTAGAAACTCCAATTTCCAATATTGACAAGCTAGAATATAAAATAAGTACCTTCTGTCTTTTTGCTGAGATATTTGATGGCCTTGATTACTTCTTCCATTTTTGGAAATACTTGCTTATAAACACCAGCTTCGCCCTGTCATGTGTTGATAATTAATGAAAAGCTCTGAAGAATCTCCACATGGATTTCTCAGTCTCTTGAAGGTGGGAATTTCCAAAGATTATTTCTTTGTCTTGAATCTCAGAAAACAGGTGCAAGTGAAAATGTTGTTCGAACAAACAATATTTTTTTAGACTCAAATGCAATTTAGTTAGTAAACCTGATAAATAACAGTAAAATTCTGTGATTTTGGTTGATTAATTTATAATTTTTTGTTATTTGTAAAAAAATTATTTTGTTTTACAACCCCCACATGCAAAATTTGACAAGGCTGAGCAAGGTATGGCAAGCGAGTACAAACTTCTTTATAATCGTAAGTAGTAGAGATCATTATTTTATATATTTCTGTATCTACTCTTCTATGTATAAGAAAAATAACTGAAATTTAAGAACTTACTTGTTAATAGTAATAATATATATACATACATATGTAATGTATTATAACCAAAATGTGACTAGTTTGCAAATAATGGTCCAATAGGAGAAGGCCAAGACAGGTCAATTTGTAAATGCCAGTTTTGTATTATTGTAACATACAATATAACGTTAAGAGATTTAAGCTATTTAAGTTAAACATTTGTGGTTTCATGTTAGAATTTGTAGTCATTCTAGAATGAAAAAAAGCATAATTTATATCTATTTCCTAATTTTTTGTGGTGGCTAAGAGGTGGGTCAAATTGACCAAACCCGTACAGAGATACAATAGTTAAAATAATAGATAAAATACGAAGTTTTCTCTAAAAAAAAGTTTGATAATTATCTGGAGGTTATAGAGATTTTATAATTTTCTGATACACAAATATTTTTAATTGTAAAATTAAAATTACTTTGCATGTTGGATAGTCAATGCTTGTAAAGAAACAATGCACAGGCAAATCATTACTTAAAAAATCATATAATTTAATGAAACAACTATGATATTTTTGTAAGAAAGCCTTGTAGTGTTTGCTGATAATTTGCAAAATTTTGTGAAGATATGCATACTGTATTAAAAGTTATAGCATGAAAACTATAACAAACACAAAATGGTTATGAAGCTGGTCCCTTGGACCAAGCCTGTAGTGAGAGAGTTAAAGATGTTTCATAGCCATTTGTATACATTTGGTATATGAACACTCATCTCCTAAGAAGCATGCTTATGTTTCATTTTAGAACTGAACAATTGTATTTTGTGGCCTTGCTTTCAACCTTTAGCTTTTGTACATAAGGTAACATTGATGTAAATGAATTATAACACTAATCATATTAGTTAGCAAAATGAGTTTTCGTTACAGGTTAATTAGTTTGTGTGTATGCTCAAAAGCTATATAATTGATATGTGTTAGACTTTTTCTTTTTCATTTTGCTTATTTCTTCACTTCTTTAACAGTTGATTGCCAACAAAGATAAGGTTGCATGTCTCATGATTACTTATCCATCTACAAATGGAATATTTGAGGAAGGCATCAGGTGAGAAAATATTATTCATATATCTGTATAACATTTTTTGCTTATAGGATTTCACACATATACTTGTTAAATAACTGTATCAGCACTAAATTATAATAGTACTAGTAGATTCCTGCAAAATTTTTGCTGTTAAATTAGTATCTTTATTGCAACAGTATTTCTTTAAGTACAAAATTTGTACTTAAAGAAATACTGTTGCAATAAAGATACTAATTTAACAGCAAAAGTATTTCTTTAAGTACAAAATTTGTAGAATAATACAAACAAAAGGTAATTGTACACCGCAATGCGCAAGTTCACTTGTATATAGGTCTTACTTTATAAGACCTTGACTAATGTTAGGCCTACTTTTGAGAAAGGGATAAATTAACACTGTACTGTGTACTTTTGTTTTTACATTAGCTTAGTTAGGACCAAATTATACTTTACTTAATACTATTTATAAATATATTGTTATTCTAGGACCAAACATCAGATCTTTTTAAAAACTTCAAGCTTTTAATGTTGTTGTACGAAATGGTTACAAAAGAATACTTACATCCACCTTTTATGTGATTCCTTCAATCATAGAGCAGTTGTAGTGATTTGTTCATTCTGGGTAAAACTCTTACTGCACATGCTTATAAGGCATACTAACAGCAGAATTATAGTATGAAAAGATTTCAGTGTCTTTGATCAGAATTCGTTTTTATTATTTTAGAAATCCTGTATTTAACTTATCTCCACATGGGCTCGGTCAATTTGACCGACCAAATGACCTGTTTGCACTCGTATAAAGTCTTTATAGATTTGATACTACTAACTTTTGATATAGTTTGTATACCATCATGAAATTTGGCAGTCATTCAGTAAACATTAGAAGTCTTACACATACAAAAAAAATCATATTTTTAGTGAAGTATTTTTAATAAACTAAAAAAAGATTTGTCCTTGAATATATCAAGTATTTGTTTTGAATAGTATGTGTGCAAAGTGATTTTCATGTTAAGATTAAAAATACTGTTCATCTCAAAAATCTCAGATTTCATTTGTGTAATCTCTAAAACCTCCTAAATACATTTCAAATGTTTTATTTTCAGTAGAACTTTATATTTCATCTGTTAATTTTTTTACTCTAACTCCATATAAGGTTGGTCAATTTGATTGATCTCGTAACCACCAAAAAAAAAATTAAATAAATCTAAATTATAATTTTTTCTTTTAAGAATGTCTTCAAACGTAGCATGAAACTACATTTGTTTATCATAAGTAGCTTTAAACTCGTAACAGTATATATCTATTTATAATTAAATTTTATTGTTTTATTGCCCTTTGAACTGTGTGTCACTACCATTCGCACCATTATAAGTTGTAAATCACTTGGGAACATGCAGCTCACGTTATGCTGTTGAATTACATTACCCACGAGCTACTCTGAGCTGCTCGCTTGCATGCCTCATGAAATATTATTATTATTATTGTTTATTTTATCTAATATAACCTTAACTAACTTAAAGAGATCTCTATTTGTACATTTTAGTTACTTTTATAATAATAAATAAAGAATAAACATGAAAACAAGAAATAAAGTAGTTATCCAAGTATTCTTTTTTTTTTGTCTGTCGATTATACATGATACTTAACCTTACTTTTTTTATACTAATGGTAGTAATGCATTAAATAATTTATATATTTCATTAAATAATGCATCAAGAACATAGACTAATAACATGCAAAAAGTAAACAATTTCCTCTAATAATCACAATTTTCTGACTTTCTAACTATCCGACAGGAATTGTTACAAACTCATCAAAGCTAGCCATTGTGGTTCCCATATGGTAACCAAAGTTGTATTACAGTTGAAACTGAATATTCTGTGTTCAGAACACAATGTAACAGAATATGTCATTTGATAGATGAAAACCTTGGGTTTCTGTTGGTTATAGGTAATATATAATTAAATGTAAAAGAGAACTATTAACAAATCCTGAAAGAGAAAATGTGACAGGTGGGTGTGGCAGGAGGGGTCTGATTTTCTATTTGATAGCTCTATAATCAAACAAAATTGAAGTCTATAAAAATTATGGTTTGTCTGAGCAATGATGATTTTATAGTAAGTAATTTATGTTGAATTTTGTACTTTTTGGAGGGGTGATGGATAAAATAGAGAAAAGAAGATACCTAGAGAAAATGTGTTGTGTGTCACACTAGAGGAGATTCAGGATTTTTTTTTAATATTGCTTTATAGAATTAAGAACAGATCCATTTATTGGACACAAATTGCTTATAGGCCTTCTATCTATAATCTATAGATAAAGCTTAAGAATTGCAATTGTGTTGGTCAAAATTCAAATAAATTAACGACTAGACCAATAACATATAAATAATGTGGTGGGAATGGAAAATGAACTTACCTTGCTAGAAATTAAAGAATTATGGCATGTGTACTTTTTTTTCTATATTTAGAGAGATGTGCAATCTTGTTCATGAGTATGGTGGACAAGTGTACTTGGATGGGGCTAACATGAATGCCCAGGTTGGATTGTGTAGGCCTGGAGACTATGGAGCAGATGTGTCTCACCTGAATTTGCACAAGACATTCTGTATCCCACATGGTGGAGGTGGACCAGGTGTTGGCCCTATTGGAGTGTAAGTTTCAAGTACAGCTTTTAACAATTTTGACTTGTATAAACACTTTCAATTTAATTCATTGTTTCTTAACCTAATTATATTTTTCTGTGCATCAGTTTCTCTGTTAATACTTTTTTGGTACTGTATGCTACTCCATCAAATCTTAATGTGTTTGTTGTATTTGTTGTATTTCAACTTATTACTAATGAAAGCAAACTAAGATTTTCTAGAAACTCCATTTTAGCCTTGCATGAATACCCAAGATGGCTGGGTAATAATTCTTCCATCTTATTCCAATATTTCAAATGTACAGGTAAATTTTTTTCTCCTTATGAGAATTTACTTGGAAGCAGACATACGTTCTTTATAGATTTCATACTTTAGGGATTCATTGTTAATATATGGCCTATCATTTAATTTTTTTTTGGAAACAATTACTTTGTTTGGCACCTCGAGTGATTTTACAGGGTAGATTATCCAGGCCTTATGAGTTTTTCATAAGAACAGTCTTATGCCTTTTTTGGGGGGGAAACATTTGGACTCTCTTTTTTTCAGTTTGTTTGGCAGATGAAGGGAGGTTGAGCCTGGTAGATGACATATCCCCATAGACATATGAGACCTACTTCTGTTGACAACCCCACAACTAGCATACATTTTACATTTTTCTTACTGTGCTACTTGTATCCTGATGTTACTTTATTATGTTGCTGTGATTTCTTTATTTTTATATGGAAAAAGGCTTTGTTCCATAATTTAGTTTTTGTTCATCAGCAAAATATTGGTGAGGCTTATTTTAATACTTCTTTCAATGTAAAATTTTACTCAACTGGATTTCTTTATATATATATATATATTTTTCTTAATATAAATAAATAAATAGCTCTTAAACTACCAGTTACATTAATCATTAATAGGCAATTAAAATCAGCACTATAAAACAATAATGAACTTAATATAAAATAAGCATTAAGTAAGCATTGGTAGAATTCCATTGTTGGTCCTAGTTATCAACTTGATGTCATAACAGATAATGCCTGTAGTAATAGTACTCAAATGCTGATGTTAAACTAGGCAGCAACCATAGAAGGTCAATTAAGGGTATGGAGTTGAGTGCTTACACCCACAAGGTTTCAACTCCTACTGCCTTGCACTGTCTGCAGCTTGTTTTGGGAAGGCAATTACTCTTAGAGTTCCTAAAGTAGAAATGAAACCACCCTAAAATTTGTACTATGTGACACTCCCAACCTCCACTTTTTACAAATAGATATTAAATGGAACTAAGTGATCTTAAAAAGAATTACAAACCCTACCTTAATAGTTCTTACATACCCAACCTTCCCCCTTTATTAATTCCATAATAAATTGATTAAGAACTTTAAATTTATCTCGATATAAAATAGGTATTTTTTTCAATGTCTTAAAAATAAAATAAGTTGAAGAACAATTTAGTATTACTCTGATTGATAAAGCTGGCTGTAATTTTGGCTTTGTATGTAAAAAAATTATACCCACAAATTTTAAATTATGAAATTAATACTACAAGTATGTTTACATAAAGTGCTTTAAAGAAAAATACTGCTATTACTAATTTAAAAAAGCCATTAAAAATGGAATATATATAGATTATTGTTCTTCTAACTTACCATTTTTATATGCAATTCTGAAATTGCACAAGGATCCCGTTAAGTTCAGATTCATTACCAATTCTTTAACAACAGTTACTAAATCTGTCTCTATTGTACTCAATAATATTATAGATGTCTTATTTGAAAAAATAAAAATACTGTTATCAAACAATCCAGATAATTATTTTTGGATTATTAGAAATAACATGCCAATTTTGTAATGTTTAAATAATTTGAATTCTTCAAAAAACAGCCAACTCTGTTTCTAAATATGATTTCACTATACTGTATACTAAAATAGACTTCAAGGATTGAATCAGGGTATTCAATGACTTGTTTGTTAATTTTTCAAGTACAGATCTAAATATTCCAAAATTTAAATTTACTGAAATTCAATGTAAAAATATACTTTATTTTTGTGTTTATAATAGTTATATTACTTCCAACAAACAAGTAGATAAACAAACATTATGTATTCCAATGGGGCCAAATTTCTCTAAAACTATGGCCAACATATATCTTCTTTTTTTTATGAAAAATCATTTCTGAAGCAGGTATTAAATCCTAATTTACATATCCACACCTTCCATTACATAGATGATATAATTTTCATAAATAACTTGAATTTTACACAAAAGTTAATATATCCAAAAGAACTTGCAATAAACAGAAGTAATAGTAATGATGTTCATGCTAATTATTTAGATGTATACATTAATTTTGTAGAAGGCAGAGTACAGTTGACTATTTTTGATAAAAGAAGGGAATTTGATTTTCCTATCCTTGGTCTACCCATCCCTAATAGTGTTATTCCATGTATAATGTTAAAATGTTTTTAATACTCTGTAACAGTAATAATTCTTTTATGGATAATGTTTTATTATTCATAAATAAACTAAAAAATAATGAATATAAAGACTGGCAATTAAATAAATACACTTTTTGTAATAAACACTAAAATATTTAAAAAATATAAACTTTCGATTATGGAAAATACCTTATGGAGACATTAGAGGCCATTAGTTACTCTTAGTTTATAAGTAGCTAACTTTGAAAACATACTTTTATTCAGTGTACTGAGACAGAAAAACTAACTACAAATAGCTGGGTTTGTCTTGGCTTTCCCTTGTTATACTTGAACAAATCTTCAAGAGAAAGTGAGGAAGTTGGGTATGTAAGAACTATTATGCAAGGACTTGTCATTCTCTTTAAGATCATTTAGTTCCATTTAATATCTTTTTGGTAAGGATAGAGATTGGAAGTTTCACATTGTAGAAATTTTAGGGTGGTTTCATTTCTGCTTTAAGAACTTTAACTCTATGACTACCGACTACGTTGCTCTCCCTCTCATTAAAATTTGACAAGAACATTCCTAAAATTATGTAGTTTCAAAAAAATAAAACCTTTAAGTTTGATTTTTTCTGCTTTTTCTTATAAAAAATTAATTATTTAATATAGTTACTTGGTCTCACATTGTGAATAGTTCACTTGCAAGGTGATTTTTATATGACGTATAAAAATACTATTTTTCATCTTACAGTTTTCACAATTCCTTTGTATGATCTCTAACTCCTCATAAATAAATAACAGTTTTTTTTTAATCAAGGTAAATGTTTATATTTTATTTTCCATTTTCTGTACTATATCACTAACTATCTATTATAATTAACATGTAATGCAATGAAATGTTTAAAATTAACAAATGGAATTAGGTACATACCTTTCAATTCTTCATAGAAATCTACAATAATAGTCATATTTCTTTTTTATATGCATAATTTCACGTCTTTTTTTTTTCACTTAGTTTTTTAATTTTCCTTTAAAATTCTTTGTCTATTATCTTTTATGCCCATGTGTTAACTGATGCCTGCAGGGCTTTACAAAGGTATATTAGTAGGCTCCCTGTAGAGACGCATTACTGAAACAAGATGGAGCTTTTACACACTATCTTTTTTATAACCTTTCAAACTCCAGGCAACAAGTTAAACTTATAAAAACCATTAAACCTTTTAAGTATAATTTTTAAAACACATATAATACATAAATAATTAAATTATTAAAGCAAGACCTAAATACAATTTAACCTATCGGCCCGGGTACACTTTACTGCGCATGACACAAAGTTTTATTGTCTTACATTCAAAATTTTATTAAACTACTTTTTGTTTGTTATACCAATTAGAATAGCATAAAATCTTAGTTAATAATCCATATTTTAATAGTATACAAGTTTTAAGTTCTTAATTCTACAAGGAAATATATATAAAAAATCCTGAATTTCCACTATTGCGACGCACGTGACACATTTTGTCTTAGCATGTTATCATCCCTATTTTATCCATCACCCCTTGAAAATGTCACATCCTCTCTTTCACAATTCATTGACAGTTCTCTCTTAAATTTCATTATATATTACTTATAACCAATAGAAAGTCAAGGTTTTCATCTTTCAAATGGCGTATTGTATAACGTTGTGTTCTGAACAGATAACCATGAATTTCACTCAGAGTAGAAACATTATTCTCGTGGGAATGTTAACGACTAGCTTGGATGAATTTGTAATGGTTTTTGTCGCACAGTTAGAAAGCCAGGAAAATTTTTAGAAGTAAGTGAATTTGTCTGCTTTTTGCATGTTATTAGTCTATATTCTTTGGTGTATTATTCAGTTAAATAAAAATTAAGTGCTTTACTATAATCACTAAAAAAAAAAAAATCAGGTTTAACTCTCCTAGACAATCGAGGGGAAGAAAAAAGAAGATTGGGTAAGTAATTTATTTTTTATTCTTTATTTATTATTATAAAAGTAACTGAAATTAAAAGTATGGATCTTTTTAAGTTATTTAAGACTAGATTAGGTAAAATAAGTAATAATAATATAATTAAAATGGTTCATGAGGCACACATGCAAGCAGCTCATTGGTAATGTAAATCGATAGCGTGACATGAATTGCACATTTCCCTAGTGATTTACAACTTATAATGGCGGAGATAACAGTTAGACATGGTTCAAAGGGCAATAAAACAATAAAATTTAATTATAAATAGTTGTATAGTGTTACAAACTTAGAGCTACTTCGGATAAATGAATGTAGTTTCAGGTTGCAATTTGAAGCCATTCTAGAAAGAAAAGAAGGTTAATTTAGGTTTATTATGATTTTTTTTTGGTGGTTCCTAGGTTGGTCAAATTGACAGATCTCATTTTGAGATAGGGTAGAGAAAATACATATAAACTATAAGGATTTAGTGGAAAAAAAACGTTTGAAATGCATTTAGGAGGTTTTAAGGATTACACAAAGGAAATTTGAGATTTTTGAGATGATGAAAAGTATTTTTAATTTCAACATGAAAATTACTTTGCACATGAACTATTCAAAACAAATACTCAATATATTCATGGATAAATTTATATTTTACTCAAAATATTTCACTATGATTTTCTGTATGTGAAAGACTTAAAATATTAAGTGAAAGACTGCCAAATTTCATGAAGATATACCAAATATATAGGGAGTTTATAAGTATTAAATTTATATCAACTTTAAACAAGTACAAAAGGTGGCGTGACTCTGTCAAATTGACCGACATTGTGTTGGGAGAGTTAATTGTTTCTCTAACTATAGCATATTTAGGTAAGAAACCACTGTACATGCTATAGTCGATCAAGTAGTCAACAGTACGAATAGAAATTACATGTAAACAATAAGGAAAATTGAGCGCAAATTTGAAATATAACCATTGGTAGAGTATAGTGTAAAATGAGCTCTAACAACTATATATACTTTTGTCAACTAACTACATGTATGTGGTAGATCTCAAGGCAAAGTATAGAAGGTGGATGTGGCAACTGTTAAAGGTTGAAAAATTAATTTCTCTTTTCTAGTGAATAGAGTTGTTGGACTTTAGATCTCACTTGTCAATTGTGTCGAACACTTGTAGTTAGCGTGTAGAAACTTTTCTACATTGCCAGCTCATGTGGCTGCTGAAGTCGAGATTTTTCAAAGTGCATGGATCACGTGACATGAAAACTGCAATTTAAGTATTTTTGGAAAGGTTTTCTTTGAAACAAAGTAATGAAAACTTAGATAACATAAAAATTAAAATTATAACATACTTTATAGCATTACTTTCCTTGACATATATTGATAGTAAAGTGGTTTAATTAAATGTTGAATGTAACGTAGTACCATACACAAAAATGAAATTAAAAATGGTGCTGATGGTCATAGGGTTAACAACTTTAAGGGTAACTGCCTCCCCACAACTGGCTGCAGACAATGAAAGGCAGTAGGAGTTGAGACATTGTGGATGTAAGCATTCAGCTCCACACACTTAATTGATTTTCAATGATTGCTGGCTAGTTTAACATCAGCATTTGGGTACTATTACCACAGGCAGTATCTGTTATGGTATCTTGATGACAGCTAGGACCAAATGGCAATTTTACCAGTGATTACTTAATGCTTATTTTACATATTTTTTGATCCACATAATTCTTCAGATATTTTGAATAGTTTTTTGTTATATTTACTAATAACTGTTTGTTGTTTGTTTAGTGTGTTCACTAATTTTGTACACGAATGAAAATCTGAATGATTAGGTTGTTTTTTTATGATAATTATCTTGGCCTGCAATGTCATGTAATTCCAAATTTCTTTTCAAAATTTATCCAGTATTGTTTTTCTTTATATTTACATTTTTTATCTTGTGCTATACTATAGGGAATATATAACTTTTCCTCAGTTTTGTTTTCTTCCCTTTAAAGGTAAGTTCCTTTTTTGTTTCACTATAAAAGCATTCATTAAGTTTTCTTTGTTTTTGTTATTACAGATTAGGTTTTCTGGTGCATTAATAGGTGTTTGTATGATATTTTTCATAATTTCTTCATTGTGATTTTGGCTTTACACTTTTTGTAACAGACACTTGTGGGACCTGTTGATAATTTTTTGTTGTTGTTCTTTTCCTATCCATTTAGCTTTATAATCTTGAGTTTTTGTTGCTCTTAGTCATTTAAAAAAATATATTTTACCGATGAGTTAATTAAAAACAATTTGTGGTAAAAAATCTCAAATTAATGCATGTTTGTGTTTATTCAAAAGATTGAGGTATTTTAATATAAATCATAGCAGATTTGGAATTTTTTCTTTGATCCCTTAATTTTCTTAGGATCTGTCTTATGTTTTGTTTTTGTCATCTTACACAATTTCCCTTCATTTAGTTTTTTGTTGGGAAGAGTAATTTCTGTTACTTTAATTATAAAATACTGTGTTCATCAGTATTTGTACTGCTTGTTATCATTTTGGAAGCCATTTTCATTTCTTTGATAAATGATCTTGTTGTTAGGTGCACAGACTTGTAAGTGGATAGTAATCTGTATTTGACAGTTTTTTTTTGTTAGCTTGGATTTATCAGGATCCCAAATTTCCATCTTCTTTCCTCAGTGATACTAAATTATTGGTCTTCTTTCAAAAAACCTAATTGTTTTTTCTGTTAAATCTATTGAAAAACATTGGTACAGAAATTTGATATGCCATACATTTTAATAAACTCTATCTAAATCTTTATCAAAATAAACTCACTTTTATTCCATCATATCTGTCCATTTCAGTAAAGCCCACCTTTCACCATTCTTGCCATCTCATCCTGTTGTTGATCCACTTTATGGACTTGGACAAAACCTAAAGCCATTTGGTGTAGTAAGTGCTTCACCTTGGGGTTCATCAGCTATTCTGCCAATCTCCTGGGCTTACATCAAGATGATGGGACCCAGTGGACTTCGTCATGCTACAGAGATAGCCATATTAAATGCTAATTATATGAGCAGAAAATTGGAGAAGTACTACCAAATTCTTTACAGGGGAACAAATGGTATTTTTCTGTATTTTTTGAAATAATATTTTTGTTTGAAATATTTTTTTTAATCTAAGTATTATCACTTTTCCCTGCAGTAGGCATACATGCTTTGTTGTTAATGTTATATAAAAGCATTGAAATCGTCAATCACCATTGTTTACATTCTATATATATATATATATATATATGTATGTGTGTGTGTGTGTGTGTGTATATATGTATACAATATGCTATTTGTAATAGCTTTTGAGGATTATATTGAATTAGTTTCTGGTATTATAAGGTTTTTTAGAAAAAAAATTTCTACTTTACTATACTGGTTTCATTAGATATTAATTTTCTACTAACAAAATTACAAAAATCAAGAGAAATAGCTATACTCCAGGATCTACAAACAGATTAAGACATTTTAAGTGTTGTTATATTTTTCACATTAGACTGAGTCAGACATAAATCTCTAGGTTTTTGTATGAATAAAACCTGCATTTATCCATTCAGTGAGAACAATCTTGAATAAAAACCTTTGTGTTTAACTATTTTCATCATATTTAGTTGATAACATTTTGATTCCAATATGTTAGAGGCATTAGGTCAGTGAAGAATAAAACTAGCTGAAAAATTAAATCTAAAAAATTTGTAATTAACTTGTATTTTTATAGGAATGGTAGCTCATGAGTTCATTATTGATGTACGAGAGTTCAAGAAAACTACTAATGTAGAGGCTATGGACATTGCTAAGCGACTTCAAGATTTTGGTAGGTTGATTTGCTTATGTTTTTGATGATAGGTTAGGATTAATTAGTTAATATTATATAAATTTGAACAGGGTTTAGTTACTTTTTTCAAACTAGTTCTCATATAGATAATGGCTGGAGACGGCTTCTCCATATTGTTTTTGAGTTCGTTAAGGCATTACTTCTATTGTATTTCAGTCCAAATACCACTTTTAACATAATCATAAAATTCAAAATTTTAGCTTAAATCTAAAAACCAAATTTAGAAGAAGAAAAAAAAGGTTTGTATTATTATAAAATTTTGTAAAAGTCTAATAATTGTATATACAAATTACAAAGAAAAAATATGTGTAAAAATATTAAAGTTTATCTATATATATTCTTTTTGTGGTTTCTATCTATCTCATTATGAATCATACGTCTCCATGTTGGGCATCTGTTTTACCTTTTATGTACACACTGTATTTTGTAATAATTGTAACAAGTGTTTAACATTTTAAGGAAAGAGAGAGAAGCTCTCTAACTCATAATGAATTCACAAATTTGCAATGAGAACAAACCCATAAAAGAGAAATAATTATCTAGAATGAAGTGATTTTTGTATAATATCAATTGAGATATTTGTTTTTATTTGAAACCTTAGTAAAGTAATGAAGTAATGCTTGCGTTTTAAAAAGAAAAGGTGTGTGACATCGACTTTTATGTTACTAAAAAATATATCGTGTTGCAATTTACACAAAATAAACAAATGACATTTAGTGGAATTTCATTTAGTAGTATGTTGGTCAGAATGTAGTATTTTATCTCAATTTAAAGGTACAACAGTGAAGTTTAAAATCTGTTATGTATGTTATAGTTATTGGTTAAAGAGAAGATGAATTGATGAATATAACATACACAAGACTTGTGTGGCAAGATTGTGATTCACTGAATGCAATAATATACCATGAGTTTCTACAGATAAAACATTTGTATTATAAACATCTGTTAATCACCAGAAATGAAGGATAAATATACAAATAATAGGTTTGTTACTCAACTCTAGTACTCTGATTTGCTTGGTATCAGTTAAAGACAAGTTTTGGTTCTTTATTTATGCTTCTCAAATAATTTCTGAGGACAGTTTCTCATGTTTGCTGATAGTTTTTTGTTTTTTTTCTATGAACATCCAATAGTAAAACTTAAAATATGATATAAGGAAGCAAAAGTTTTTTTTTGCTTAAATCCTACATTTCTAAATTTTTTAATCCAATCAAATTATGGTTAAAGCAAATATTAATTTCATCTTCTTAATATATTTTTAGATATAAATTGAAAGATTCTGTGAAAAAAAATTGAAAGAGTGTCATCTTTTAGCAATTGTGATTATCATCAGCTATGGTTTTTGAAGCTATATATTATACTTTAAAGGGTTTCATGCTCCTACTGTATCTTGGCCTGTTCCTGGATCACTTATGGTTGAGCCTACTGAGTCAGAGGACAAGAGAGAACTAGATCGTTTTTGTGAAGCTTTAATTGGCAAGTTTTATCTTTTTACTGAATTGCACATAAAGTAACCATAAATTGAAAACATAACTTAAGTACTGGTGATTGAACCCACAGTGTTATATCAGTGAAGATATAATAATCATTGTCTCTACAGAGAAATATACTGTTTTTCTATTGTATTTTCTTCTGAACACTTTCATCGACTGCCATTTCTTGGTGGATTGACTTGAAACTTAGTAGGAATATACCAATACACTCAGACACCTTTTTCGTTTTTTTATTTGGGCCTTTATAAGGATTTTATGGGGTAAAAGGTCAAACAACCCCAAAATGTATATTTCCAAATATACTTACCTCATCTCACACTTATAGGTATTACTTCGCTGAGAGGGTTTCTTCCTTTGCCCATCTAAGCATTCGTATGATTTTTTCTTACTTGCTCCAATCTTTTATAACCCACTTAACTGCCCTTGGCAATATTTGTCTTGTGACACACTCTGCCTACGTCAGTGTACTCTATGCTGGTACTGTATACAAGTACCTCATTCAGATAATGTTATCACTTTTTCAAGACTGACTCCATCCCAGTCTCTCAGTGGGAGGCAAGATGCCACAAACAACATAATTTTAAGAGTTTTGTGGCAATTTACATGGAATTTCGTACAAAGATGCTCTTTGCAGGTCCCAAACAGAGATATAGTCAATTTGGGAATTTTCATCTTTTGTTCAATTTTTCAGAGATGACAGCACAATTTAGAGTTCTCATGAACTTACATGGGATTTGGTACAAAGATACCTTCTTGCAGGTCCCAATCAGTGACATCACAGTTTTCAATTTTTCTTTTTTTCACAGTTTTTTTGGTGTCAAAATTGGCCATGTTGGAAACATGTTACATTTGCCTATAAATATTGGGCATCTTTAATTTTTTTTATTAACTCTTGATAGGGGCTAGGTCATTTTGGCCGAACTTGTAATCATGAAAGTATCCATACTTTAACTTTCAATGTGGTATATGTAACTTCATGAAATTTGGCAAGCTTTTAGTAAACATTACAAGTCTTTTGTACATATAAAACTAGATTTTTTTAAATAAGTACTTTTACTAAAGGTGCAAGGTGATTTTTATGTTAAGATTAAAAATTCTTTTATTAATCTGAGTTTCAAATTTCATTTGCGTAACCTCCAAAATCTCCTTCAACAAATTTCAAACATTTTTTTTCAGTAAAACTGTATTATAATCTGCTATCTTCTCTACTCTAACTCTATATGAACCTGGTTAATTTAATAGACCTTGTAACCACCACAAAATGATATGAAATAAATTGAACTTGTCATTTTCTTCTTTCTACAATGATTGAAACAAAAAAGTACAATTGTTTATCATAACTAGCTTAAGGCTCACAAAAATCCACATCTGATTATTTTTGATTTTATTGTTTTATTGCCTTTTGAACCATCTCTAACTAATACTCTCATGAAATAAGCTGTAAATCACTCAGCAAAGGTGTAACTTAAGTTACCATATTAAATGCCATAGCATGAGCTACTTACGAGTATGCCTCATGAAGAAATTTTTTATTATTTTTTTTTCTTTATCTTACCAAATTTAATGTAAAAAGTTTCTAATGTTCACAATAAACAAAAAATACACTTCTATTTATTTTATTCATTTATATTGTTCATTTTGTTCTATTCAACTTGTACAGGAATTAAAATTTTCTGCAAATATTAACTTTGTGCAATGAAATCATTTTAGTATCTGAACAGCTGAATACAATTGTTGAAACATAAGTATGCATGATTCCTTTGTTATCAAATATTGCTTAAATTTGTCAAAGAATTATGCTCTACATTTCAGAATAGACCTACATATGTTTCTTATATTTCTGAACTTGTGTGCAATAATATAATTGCATTGTTTACAGAAATTAAATCCAACTAAGAATATGAAATTCAGCTTTTTTGTCAAAATTGCAATTCAATCCAATTGATTTAAAGTTAAAACAAGTTTCATTGTTATTGTCAAACAGAAATTACAATAGTCAATTTGCTCTCAATATCAATTGCACAAAGTTTGGTTAAATAAAAATCCATAGATAATATTGTAGATTGGTTTACACACATGTAAAAAAAACAACAACAAACACCTTAACCATGTAAACTGAATGTCTGCTTATATTGTCCCTTGGGCTGTGTGGATTTTGCACCAGTCATTAGAACAGGAACAAGTTACAGTATAGTTCAGAATGCTCTTTATACACATGCATTGCTTTTTTCTACATCGTTGTCCTGTACTACTGCAATCATATGTGGTCAACTACACATAATCAACTGAGACAGCAATGTTTTTCATGAGAATAGGTTGCATCATGGCATTAACATTTTGCCAACCTGTCAGAAGAGGGTCTGGGAGATATGCTTGTTCTAGGAGGGCATTCCGCTAAATAAAGGCCTGATAATGTGACTTCTGATAGAAATGTGAGAGCATCTCTTGTTGGAGGCAAATTTTCAAGTCTTGACTTAGACTTTCTGAATAATGAAGCACTTGGATATTGGTTGTGTCAGTTTTGGAGTTGTACAGCTTACACACAAATGCTTCTGCATTTGAAACACTCACTCAGTAGGTAATCCTTCCCAATGTCCTTCCTAAGTGGTTTTCTTCCCAATGCTGGAAAACTGAGATGTAGTGTCACAGCCAGTAATAGCATGCAATTGCAGCAGAATCTTCTTTGTGTGTGATACCTTTGTATGGCATGGACTGGTTGATTTCCCCATTACAATTTTCATCCAGAGTTCTACAGATGTGGCTTGAAGAATATGAGAAACACAAAGACATCCATGTCATGTGAGTGTACTACTGTTTGTTCATATCCACGCATAGTACTGCACATGAAGGAAGCAACAATTTTTTTGTTCCTGTATATGTTGAATGGAATAAATTAAATATTCTTAAGTTTTTTGTTTTAGAGGATTAGGCCCAAAATGGGCCATTCAGGCCCATTTTATGTCAACAAAAATCTAGTTTGTTAGAAGAAATGTATTACTGGACATAATAGAACATAAAACAAATATGTTCATGTTTTTATGAAGAAATCAAATTAATGAAACCAAAAAAAAATAAAACTTGTTGATTTCTCAGACTGAAAAGGCCCAACTGAGGGTAAGATATAAAATGGGCCACTCAGAACCGTTTGCAAAATTGCTAACAATGATTTTCGAATTCTGTAATAAAATAGCTTTCTTTTGATATATGTTGGCACATTGTACTAAAAATGTCAAACATTTTCGTTTCCAGAGGCCTTTCAACATCTACCTCCTGACTAGTAACTCTGTAAATAACTATGACATGCACACTTTGACCTACCCGTAATAAGAAAGCTAACTGCAACATTAAACATTTATTTTTGAAAATTGAATATTAAGAACATCAGATTTTACTACAGTCTGGTTTATTACTTCTGTTAAACCTGTATTTATTAGTTTTTCTATTAAATGCTTGAAGAACTCTATTTAAAGTACAGATAGGTATGAAATTTAGTTAACTCAGTATTTTATATACCTTTATGAAATTAAGTAGATTATAGGTTGTTTTATGGTGTTTATTTAAACCTTTTCAAAACATTTTAAGTTATAAGAGAGGAAATCAAAGACATAGAAGAAGGTAGAATGGACAAGAAAATCAATCCATTAAAAGTAAGTTTCTATAGAATTTTTGTGTCTAGGTTATATCTGGTTATAAAGTTCAGTTAGTTGAAGAATAAAACCTGAGAAATAATTCAAATCTTTACTGAGAGGTAGTAATTTCACATATGCATATCGAGTTCATCAGTATAACTCCTGTGATGTTTTTTAGATACCAAATCACTTTACAAGAAACTTCTTTTCTTTTTTCTAGAAAGAGTTTTCATCATTATGTAGTCTTTCTATATTAAGTACATCAGAGTATTTAAAGTTAAATCATGTTTTGTGTCATGTATACTGCCTTATTGAAAGTAATCAAATGTGTTGTCATGGAGAGAAGATTCTCTTGGTGATATTGTACAGCATTGCCATTAACTTGAATACCTGCTGCTTTTTGCAAAGTGTGCTCTCAGTGTCATTAAGCAGGTTTAATTCATCTTCATTCTTGTTTTAAAATCTTGGCCAGTTGATGATGATGATGATTGAAAGAACTGTTGTTTTATGTATAAATCTCTGTGGGTGTTGGAATAGAGGCTATTCCAAAACACACTTACCTCCACTGACACTATAGCTATTTCGCGATCTCCATGGTTTTCACTCTTTGCCAATCTAGACTTTAAAAATGCTTGCTCCAGTCTTTTATACCCCACTTAAATATCCTTGGGAAATTCTAGTTTGCAAATTTCTCCACCAACTTCAATGCACCCTCTATCTAGGTACTGTTTATAAGCACCACATTCGGATAATTTAATTTTTTCTCAACCAAGCAATTGGCATGGGTTTTTCTAAATAGGAGTGTTGTGATTATTCACAATTTACATTGCGACTTTGAACATGGTTTGTGTTACTTTGGTTATGTCCTCATATATTTATAAATTACTTTAATCATAATAATAAAAAAACAAAAAATCCACATACTGACAGATATGAATTCCCAAGTTAATGTTTCTATTATGGAGGCCAGTCAGACCTCTCCTCTTCCACCTCTGTTAACTGGTATTTGTCAACAACCAAGGTAGGAGTCACTCTCAGTCAAGGCTGTCTGTGATATGATCCATTGTGAGATAAGCACACATATATGTGGACCAAGGGTGTCTCTCAAAGGGTTTCTGAGGCTGCTTTTGGAAATGACCTGGACCAGCTGGGGTGAATTTAAACTCGTTTTTTTCCAGCTCCTTCTTTTACTAGGTTGGCCTCAACAGAGAATCATTTTGATCAGCCACCTCCAGCCCATTTTCTTCAGTTGATTACTCAGGTTTGTGAGATTTTGGGGGTCTCTCCTATTGCATTTGACTCTACCTCTTCCTTGTTGGCAACAAGGATGGCAAGTGACTATTTTGTTTTTCCTCCTCCTGATATTGCTCTTCATGCTGGGAGATTTGCTGCTCAGTTATGCATTGGGATAGCTATAACTGGTCTGCCAGGAGGAGGTATATTTAGATTCTCAACAAATGGACCCCCTTTTGGACCTGAGGGGGTCTTGATTGGAACCTGTGATCACTTTAAACAGATCACAGTTTTCTCGGATTCATCTTATTCTCACAACTGTCCTAAGGTATTTATCTTTGATCTAACTTTTGTTGGAAACCTATCACTGTTGTTCTCAAATTGTCGAGGGGGAGTTGGGGATTTTGCTGATGACTACCTCAGTTAGATTGTCTTCTTGTTCTAAAGATGTTAGAATCAATATTTTATTCAGTTTGTTTACATTATTCTTTATTGTCATTGATTTTTTTGTCCTTCTGGTGCTAATTTGGTAGTGTCGGCTCTTGGTTTTTCTTGACCCCTTCCTTCGGTTCCCAGGTCTGTTGGTTCTCATAATAATCTATCCTTTTGGGGGAGCAGTGGGATTACGTTTACATCACTTTCCGATCATATAGTGTTTTTTCACCAGTGAACCATGGGTATTCCATGCTCTGAATGCAGGGCTGGTCATTCAGTTTACATCACCTCAATCTTTATCTGCACAACCTGTTGCCTTGTCACCTCTAACATATTCCTGACAAGTGGAGCTTTGTTCCCAGGCTATAAGAGAGTTAGTTGTTAGTCAAAAGGGCAGTAGTAGAGGGTTGATCCAGTTCTTCTGGGATTTTATGCCTGTTGATTTGTTGTACTCAAGAAGACAGTAGATTGGCATCAAATCATTGATCTGTCTTGATTCAACCAATTTTAGATCCTCCTTGCTTTACTATGGAATCCTTTCTCAATCTACGATGGCACTTTGTGCCAGGGCTCTGGATGATCAAGTTCAATGTTACCGACACTTATCTCCATATTCCCATAGCGGAATTTTCACGGTGGTTTCTCAGATTTATGCACAAGGGTCAGGTCCTGCAGTTCATGGCTCTACCTTTTGGTCTTGCATCAGCACCTTATGTCTTCTGCAGAATTGTTTGAGCTTTTTCTCATCATCTACATTCCTTAGACCTGTATGCATATCATTATATGGACAATTGGATACTTCTGGCACCATCCTGCCAAATAGCAGAACAACATTTTCAGATTCTCCTTTCACAAGCCACAAAAGTGGGCTTCCTTATCAGACTTGAGAAATCATCTGTCACCATTTCAATGTCTCGTCCATCTGGGTGTGTTTTTCAAGTTGTGCTCAACCAACCCATATCAGGCTTCAAACCATGGAAAAAGTCATCAGGCTTTTACTTGTGTCTCATACTGCATGAATTGTTCTCTCTCTGTTGAAGATGTGGGTATCCCTTGAGCCTCTCATTCCTTTGGAATAAACTAATACGAGGTCCCTTCAGTGATCACTGCACGATCAATGAATCAGGCTTTCCGATCCTTTGGATCATTCTGTCTCATTACTTAGGAGCAACATTGTCGATTGCGAATGGTGGTTGGATCAGAACAACACTACTATTGGGGTACCTATTACACCACCTCGTCCCAAGATCCATCTATTCACAGACACATCTCTTCAGGGATGGGGGAACTTATTTTCAAGGTCAGGAGTTCCAGGGTATTTGGAGAGAAATTGAGTCTACCCTTCATAGCAATGTTTCTGAACTCCTTGCAGTACACTGGGCAATGGTTCAAGGTCTGTCTCTCTTGAAAGGAAAATTGTTATGATACATTCCGACAATTCCGCTGTTGTTTCTCAGATTTCTTGTCAAGGAGACACACATTCTCGAGACCTTTTTTTCATATCTTGGATTTTCTCCACTGGACTCTTTCCCATCATATCAGTCTTTTAGCATGTCTTATTCCAGGAGTAATGAATTTAATTGCAGATCACTTGTCTTGATCCAACCGGATTCTTCTGACAGAATGGATGATGCTTCACAAGGTTTTTCAGTGGATTTGCTCTCAGTTTTGGTCTCCAGTACCTCATCCTCAAGTGTTGGCAGTAGATGTGTTCAGTCAGGACTGGACAGGTTTACATCTGTATGCCTTTCTCCCAATTCGGCTGTTGCCTTGGTTTATGATTATGGTTTGCTCCACTCCCTATTGAGTTATCTTGGTTGCACCATATTGACCAGTTCAAACGTGGTTTCTGCTTCTTTGGTATTTGCAGGTGTGTCGTCCTCTACCTCTTCCACATTGGCAGTATCTGAAACAACCTCGATCAGACATTCTTCACCCAGGTGTTCGGAAACTAAATTTTCATGCTGGGAAGTTATGCGCTTCTTTGCCCAACTTAAAGGTTTAACTTCTATGGTTTCTCTGTATTTAACTAAATTTCTCCATAGGCCAACCACAGATGTTTATCAATGGAAATGGAAAACTTATCATCAGTGGTGTCTTAAAAGGAATTGCTACCCTCTTCATCTTAAAGTATCTACTATAGCTCATTTTATGACTAGGGTATTTGAGAGGGGTCTTGCTTCATTTACAGTTGCTTTATATAAGGCATCATTATCCACTATTTTTGGTATTCCAAATATCGGAAGGTTGTTTGAATCCCCAGTACTATCGTGTCTACTCAAAACCCTTCCATTTCTTTGACCCAAATGACTTTTTCAATTTCCAAATTGGAATTTTATAGTTGTTTTACATGCATTGTCTCATCCTCTTTTTGAGCCCTTAGCCTCATGTTCTTTGTTTCTCCTTTCTCTTAAATTGCATTTTTTTTTGTTATTGGCTTATGTACATCATTGGTTGGAGTTGTTTGCAATTCCTTTGCTTCAGACTCTTTATCATTCCACATTTGTCCTGCTTTACCCAAATAGGCTCTTTCTGTCTAAGACTTTGACAGCTAGGAAAGGGGAAAGATCCTTTTCACCAATCAATTTGCCAGCCATTTCTCACCTTTATGACTGCTCCAATCCTGACTGTTTGTTATGTCCTGTTAGGGGTCTGATGTGTTCTGTAGCTCTTACTAACTCATTTCGAGGTAGTAGGAATCGATTGTTCATTCATTGGAATCCTTCTTTTTCCCATTACTTATCTCCCATTACACTAACGAGATGGCTTTGTAAATTGATTCACATGGCTTATAATGGATTATCGTTACAGGAGAGGAATCTTTTGTGTGTCAGATCTCACCAGATTTGTCATATCTCTGTCAATAGCCACCCAGTTGAATTGTGTGGTCAGGTATGTAGATTACTCCTAATACATTTGTATCTCATTCCTTACATGATCTGTCAGTTTCCTCTTCTGAGGGTTTTTGACTAACCCTTGTAGCTATTTTGACCACATTTGTTAGATTTTCACCAGAGATATTTTCCTCAATCATAAACCCTTTTTTTTTTTTCACTGGATCCCATTCTGTGGTGAGTCTTGCCCAGGCAGATATGTTTTTTTTTCAATTCCACACTAGCAACCACTTTCACTATAATTACTACAGATTTCAACAGGCTCTGTCGAAATGGGGTGTTCCATAAGACCATCTAGGCACCTACCAGATGGTATTACCTTATTATTATGGATTGCCACTAATGGACTATCATGAGTAAAGCTGAAGGGAATCCTGCCCATCCCTGCTGATCTTCAGGTTAGTTTGCTTATAAAAACATAGGGAACTTGGTTCACATTTTGCACAGTTTCCAGAGCACTGTTCCTCAGGACTCCCCAGCACATATTTCCCCCCCCCCCCAAACTCTACTGGTGGAGCTTAAGAGTCCTTACCATCCCTGTTTCCAGTTGCTAGGGTGGCAGATAGAGGCTTTTCTTCCAGAGTGGTCGAGTGTGTTCATCCACTCTTGGAGAAGAGGGTGAAGTTGGGGTCCCTC